AGTAAATGAGCAGCTCATGAGCCGCCTCTTGAGTCGGCTATAACTCATAGAATAAAGCTTGAGCTCGAACTCAATTAATTAGTCAAATTCAAGCTCAAGCTAAGGGTGAATTAAACTCAGTTGGACCTGTTTACATTACACCTCGAAAATGGACTACTGAGAAGAGTTTGAGCCCAATTTGAAATTGACTTGATCTAAATTAAGTCAATTTGAATCAGATCGATTTTCAGTCAATCTGAATTCAACCGGTCAAAAAAATAAATAAATCCGAACTAAACATGCTGGCAACCTAAATTATCAAAGCCTAACCCATTAACCCATTATGGATAAACAAATTATTCTTAACTTATTAACTATTAAATTGAAGAGATTTGATAAAAATCAAAAGATTGCATCTATAAATTAAAAAAAAATTATGAAAAAAAAAATATCAAATGGTTCATTTTTTCGGTCAAAAGCATGTTCGCAGGTCAACCCGAATTTGACCTGCTTAATATATTAGCTAGAAAACTCAATTATGAACCCTACTATTTATTAAACAGGTCAACCCGAATTTAAAATTTTCAATTCTATTTAATGAATTGGGTCATTTATTAACACCCCTACATGTTACAAAATGAAGAACATTATGATGACATTTAAAATAGAAATATATTTTAAAATTAATATTATATGTATATTTATTATATTAAGTTTAAAATATCTTTTATGATTGTTAAGCCTGTCTTGACATAATTTCTATCAGAAAATTATAATATTTTTTTATTTGATGGTGATACATGCTTTTAAAATTCTGAAATTTTCTTTTATGATGTTGCTTCGCATGGATAAAGCTAGACGAGTGGAAAGAGCAGTAGTTTATATGTAGCACAAAAATGTCTCCTATGACATGAGTAACGAGAAATCCTGTGAAAAATATGATCACCTGGCAATGGAAGGCTTTCTGCGTTCAGTCAATCTATACAGAGTGAATCGGTCCCTAAGGAACCCCCGAAAGGGCTGCCGTCCGATGGGTACACGAAAGTGACGAAGTTGCTTTGACTACTGAACCATGCCTATTTGTTGGAGCGAATTGGGTTTAGGGTTTAGTTCAAGATAGATACTTAACTTGGAAATGTATTTGATTAAGAGAACATTTACACTTTTTTTTAAATATATTTATTATGTTATTTTTTTATAATTTTTTACTAACTTCCAAGGAAATGTATATGGAAAAAAAATTATTAAATTTATTAAGATAAGATATCTATAAGAAATTGTTATTGAATTTTTTTGAAAAACCAGAAAATTTATAATAATTATAATAGCTCATTTTCACATCAATTTTATAACTACTTCTACAATTGATTTATGTTAATAAGTCCAAACTATTAGGTATTTATAATGGTAAAAAAATTAATTTGTGATCCTGGAAATAATAAAATTAGTTTATGTACCACCATTAAGAAATTTTGTTGTTCCACTATTTTGGGTTAGAGCTAGAAAAATAGACAAGAGAAATTAGTGAGTATGAAGAGAGTAAAAAGTTTTACTATACCGATAAGTAAATATCACAAAATGAACACAACATGAAGCTCCTATTCGTCTCTTATTTATATGATTCCAAGGGCTACTTGGAATGTTGCATGATGTACATGCGAACCCTTATCTCTAATATAATCCCCTTCTCTCAGGAAAGTCAATTATGCAAGTCTTCAAGAGCAAGTACCCTAAGTTGATCTTTTAGATCTATCATGTAGCTCGAGTTTGTGAGAGTAAGTTCCTAGGAACAAGAGGCAATTTCCTAGAAATAATAGACAAGTTTCTACGAAAAAGGGATATGCGCACCCCCATATTTGGATGAACGAAATCTCGATCGACTAACTCTTGAAGCTCCTCAAGTGTCATCATAAATAGAGTCTTAGATATCGGAGTAGTACCCGGAAACACATCAATACATAAATCAAACTCCCTATCAGGTGGTAAACTCACTAACTCCTCGGGAAGGAGTCGAAAAAATTCTACTACTGGGACATCAAACAGAGGTCCAGATTCTACACTTCTATCTCGAACATAAAAAAGAAAAAAAAATGTCAAGAATATCATACATCCTTTTCTTGACACCCATCATCTACTTGTACATCATATAACATGTAACACTCTTAGGATTTAATTTTGAAAGAACTATTTAATTTTTATGTTAATTAATCTACCAAAGATACTAATCTCTTTTATTTAATATAATCAGGATATAATAGCCAAAATTCATATATAATAGCCAAAATTCATATACAATAGCTAAGAGTTTAATCCATATATTCATGAGTTTATCTTTACCTCTTGACTACAAAAGAATAAAACTAAAAAATATGTATAAATAAAATAAATCATGAATCTAAGATTTGTCCTCAGTCCACTGTATCTTGACATATTTCTAAAATATGTAAAATTATAGAGTAAGCTAACAATTCAGTAGGTGACCAGAACATGCAACTGAAATTAATGTAAGACAATATGAACAATATACATGTAGTCATTCAATCATTATATGCATGAAAATATAACTGTAAAAACATATAATAATTAATGAAATAGTAACATATCATACAATCAATAAATATCAATACAACTATATATTTTAAGAGCCATGATCAATAACCAAGTGCATATAATCAGTCAGTTTTGTTAATCTTATACCCAATAAAATAGTTTATATAATATCTTCTTACATTCGTATATCTGTCATTATTATATGCATGTCATACACTATCTATATTATGCAATTATATCATGTAAATTATGTGATTCGTATATATCAAATATTTGATTCCAAGGGCTACTTGGAATGTTGCATGATGTACATGCGAACCCTTATCTCTAATATAATCCCCTTCTCTCAGGAAAGTCAATTATGCAAGTCTTCAAGAGCAAGTACCCTAAGTTGATCTTTTAGATCTATCATGTAGCTCGAGTTTGTGAGAGTAAGTTCCTAGGAACAAGAGGCAATTTCCTAGAAATAATAGACAAGTTTCTACGAAAAAGGGATATGCGCACCCCCATATTTGGATGAACGAAATCTCGATCGACTAACTCTTGAAGCTCCTCAAGTGTCATCGTACATAGAGTCTTAGATATCGGACTAGTACCCGGAAACACATCAATACATAAATCAAACTCCCTATTAGGTGGTAAGCTCACTAACTCCTCGGGAAGGAGTCGAAAAAATTCTACTTGACATCAAACAGTGGTCCAGATTCTACACTTCTATCTCGAACATAAAAAAGAAAAAAAATGTCAAGAATATCATACATCCTTTTCTTGACACCCATCATCTACTTGTACAGCATATAACATGTAACACCCCAGGATTTAATTTTGAAAGAACTATTTATTTTTATGTTAATTAATCTACCGAAGCCACTAATATCTTTTATTTAATATAATCATGATATAATAGCCAAAATTCATATATAATAGAAAAAATTCATATACAATAGTCAAGAGTTTAATCCATATATTCATCGATTTATCGTTAGCTCTTGACTACAAATGAATAAAACTAAAAGAATATATAAATAAAATAAAACATGAATCTCATGTCTATCCTTAGTCCACTGGATCTTGACTTATTTCTAAAAATATATAAAGTTATAGAGTGAGCTAACAGCTCAGTAGGTGAGTAGAACCTGCAAAAATATCTGTAATCATTCAATCTTTATTTGCATGAAAATATAATTGTAAAAAAATGTAATAATTAATGAAATAGTAACATGTCATGCTATCAATAAATATTGATACGTCATCAAAAAATTATCTTGATCGGGCACGAATCTCGATGCAAAATAAAGTTGGAAACTTTAAAAATTAATTCAGAAACCATCTCAACTCCGATTTCAGCAAACTTACAGTCGAACTGAGCATCTCGGAAATACGAACCCAACGACACCAAATTCAACCCAATCCTAGCCCAAATGGGTCCAAATCAAGAACCTGAAGCACTGTTGGAAGGTTCAAACCACAATTTAAATTACCAAACAGTTTCCAAACCTAACAAGCTTATAGTCGAATCGAGCGGCTCGACGAGAAGAATCCAACAAGCCCAAGATAGCTGAATTCCGACACCATTAAAACCTTCAAATGTCTGACGAACGGTCTATGATCAAGGGATTCAATATCAGCCGTCCATTGAACCACTCCACATTTGCCCCTGATCTCTCACATATTTACAGGCCATGCCACTCCAAAAAATCTATAAATAGACCCCTCATTTCTCTTGAAAGGAGGATCCTAGCAAGAAGAGAAGAGAAGGAAGAAGCTCCTCCTCGACCACCGTCGGACCACCGTCGGAGTTTCGCCGGACCACTGACGTAGTTTCACTGGACCACCGTCGAATCATCGCCGAACCACCACCTGAGGCCATCACCTTTGCCAGACTACCACTTGAGGCCCTCACCTCCGCCGGACCACCACCTGACGTCGTTCCTCCGCCGGACCACCACTTGAGGCCCTATGCCCCACCTGGCCACCACCTGATTCCTAGACTTATGACGGACCATCACCTGAGGCTTGGACTTCTGCCGGACCACCACCTGAGGCCCTCACCTTCGCCAGACCACCACTTGAGGCCCTCACCTCCGTCGGACCACCTCCTGACGCCGTTGCTCCGCCAAACCACCACCTGACCCCATTGCTCCGCCGAACCACCACTTGGGGCCCTCACCTCCGCTGGATCACAGCCTGACGTTGTTGCTCTGCCGGACCACCACTTGAGGCCCTCACCTCCGCTGAATCACCGCCTGACACCATTGCTCCGTCGGACCACCACTTGAGGCCCTCACCTTCACCAGATCACCACCTGACATCGTTGCTCCGCCAGACCACCACTTGAGACCCTCACCTCCGTCGAATTACCGCCTTACGCCGTTGTTCCACCAAACCACCACTTGAGGCCCTCACCTCCGCCGGACCACCGCCTGACGCTATTGCTCCATCGGACCACCACTTGAGGCCCTATGCTCCACCAGGCCACCATCTAATGCATGGATTTTTGCTGAACCATCATCTGAGGCCTGTACTTCTGCCGGACCACCACCTGAGGCCTGGAATTCTGTAGAATCATTGCTTAAAGGCCCTATGCTCCACCAGGCTACCGCCTTAGGCCCGGACTTCCACCGGACCACTACTTGAGGCCCTGTGCTTCACCAGGCCACCACCTTAGACCCGCACTTCCACCGGACCACCACCTGATGCCCATACTTCTGCCGGAAAACCACTTGAGGCTCTGTGCTCCACCAGAATCACCCGAGGCCCGAACTTCTGCCAGACCACTACTTGAGGCCTTGAGCTCCATCAGGCCACCACTAGATGCCCAGAGTTCTCCCATAATATTATCGACCTCTATCACTAGACAACGATCTTTCTGACCCTGATCTCCTACCGATAACGATCTTTCTGACCCTGGTCTCCTTCCGATTACAGTCTTTCTGACCTCCATCACCTATAATGGTCCTTCCGACCTCCATCACCAGATAACAATCTTTCTGACCCTGATCTCCTTCCGACAATGGTCTGTCTAACGTCCGTCACCTATAATGGTCCTTCTGACCTCCATCACCAGATAACGGTCTTTCTGATCCCAGTCTCCTGCCAACAATGGTTTTTCTGACCCTGGTCTTCTATCGACTACGGTCCTTCTGACCTCTGTCACCTACTATGGTTCATCCGACCTCCATCACCAGATAACAGTCTTTCTGATCCCTGTCTCATATCGACTATGATCCTTCTGACCTCTATCATCTATAATGATCCTTTCGACCTCCATCAACAGAAAACAGTCTTTCTGACACCAGTCTCTCGGCAACTATGACCTTTTGGACACCTGTCTCCTGCCGACTATGGTCTTTCCGACCTCCATCATCTACTAGGGTCATTCCGACTTACATCGCCAGAAACGGGCTTTCCGACCTTCATCTCCTGCCGACTATGGTCCTTCAAACCTCCATCACCTACAATGGCCCTTCCAACCAAACAAACATGTCTATGTTGATTATTGTAATTCTCCCAGTGGAATGCGCTCTATATGATGTACATTTGTAATATCAGGCCAATGTCTTCTCCCTAAGAAGGGCCTCATTTGTAATCGACTGCAAATACTACTGGATTCATTCAAACTAGGCCAGGCCCCGTGATTTTTCCCATTTTTAAGGGTTTCCACATAAAAACTCTGGTGTCTCTTATAAATGTTACACCCTCTCTCTTATCTTCTTGTGTGCTGAATCTTCGTACAATGTTAAGACATTAAACTATATATTTCTCTAACGTCGCGAATACTTCAGGACGTAACAATTTGGCGCCGTTTATGGGAATGTGGTTCTCGGCTGGGGAGTAATTTGTGCTCCAACCTCAAAAGATCGTTCATGTCAATTTCTTGACTTTGGTTATTGATACATAATTTCATGGGATTCAGATGCGGACTGGGGGGCAACGTTGACTCAAACTATGATCAAGAAGATCTTTCCAATGCTTTCAATATCAAGATGTTGTTTCAGAAAAATCCCAACAAATGTAAGGATACTTTCAATCGATTATAAGCTTCATACAATTCCCTGCTGGACTTCTACTCCATGGACAAGGTCTTAATCTCGACCTCAAAATGGCAGTAACGGTCTAAAAATATATCATTCTTCGCCTTTGATTCGGGATACATGCGGCGTTCGCCCCCTCCCAATCAAGGCAAAATCGATCACAGGGGGATTTGATTCGACCACTTCCATACAGTTTAACGTCATCGAGTAAGGCTCTAACATACAACCTCGGATAGGTCCTACACCTGTCATTATTATATGCATGTCATACACTATTTATATTATGCAATTATATCATGTAAATTATGTGATTCGTATGTATAAAATATTTTTATATTAATTTTATCAACATTATCAAATACTTGAATCAATCATAGCCTGTAACTTATATAAATCATACCATGTCAATTATGTAATTTTATATATATCTTCCTTTCATATGCATATGCAAGCACTATAAGCAAGAAAAGGTATTCAACATCAGTGGTGTTTTTTCTATATCTAGTCCTATAGGCCAACCCTATATGAATCAGCCGCAATCATGTTAGTGTTATTTGTTAGGAATCAACGATATCATAAGTTATTTAGGTCAGGTGGCTTTCATATCAAAAGTTGGCACTTCCTACCGTTGGTGTATTATATCATATCATTATCTCTCCTTATACCTCCATGTTTATAGTATTTAGGATTACATTATAAATCTTTTTTTAAAGGAAAGCTTATCAGCCCACCCTCCTTTACATGATAATATGTCGAATGGAGACCTAAATAAGTCAATAATTTCTAGCCAGTCTTTTTTATATACACATATTTCGTAGGATATATAATATAGTAAACATGTGATATTATGCTAAATATTCATCTCACTATATAATATAAATGCATATAAAATTTATATATGAATCAAAATAAGTAAAATTCATTAAAAAAATATAATGTGCTCTTTTTCATTATATATATATCCACTGTAATGAGTATGCATGTCATGTACTAATATTATGAGGTTTTGCAATTATTTATATAATTTTCATATTTATTTAAAATTTTCAAATTAAAAATTTCCCTTAAAATATTAAAAAACTCACAAAAAATTTAGTGTATTCATGTCAATATATACAAAATTATTAAAATTATAACATACTGAAAGGTATATGAAAGAACAACAACAACAACAGCAAGCATTTGTCCCACTACATGGGCTCGGCTATATGAATCATTTTTTGCCATTGTGTCACGTTAAAAGTCAAATTCTAATTCAAATCTAATAAAGAAATATCATTTCTAATATTTTCTAACCAAGTCTTTTTAGGTCTTCCTCTACCATTCTTAGCATAAGTCAAATATAATACCTCTACTTTCCTAACATGGCCATCAAAAGACTGACGTTTTTATGTGACCAAACCATCTAAAGCGACTCTATCTAATATTATCTTCCACTGGAGCAACTCCAACCATTTCACGTATATGCTCATTTCGTATCCAGTCTCTAAAAGTAAAGCCACTCAGCCACCTAAGCATCCTCATCTATGAAACACTTAACTAAGTATTATGCTTCTCTTTTAATGGCCAACATTCTACACCATAAATATTGGAGGTCTAACCACCATCTTATAAAATTTTCTCTTATGTTTGAGGGGGAATTATCTATCACACAACAAACTCGATGCATTCTTCCCCTTCAACCATCCAACTTGAATTCTACTAATAATATCTCTATCTATTTCACTATCGTTCTGAATAATAGACCCAAATTATCTAAAATATGTACTCTTATAAATGACTTGATAACCCAACGTCACAATCCCCCCACTAAAACTATTATTACTAAAATTACATTCCATGTATTTAGTTTTAGATCTACTCAAATGAAAGCCTTTAGACTCTAAGGCTAACCTCCATAATTAAAATTTGCCTTCAACTCCCTCTCTAGTCTTATCAACAAGAAGAATATCTTTAACAAAAAGCATACACCATGGTACAACCTTTTGCAAATGTCTAGTGAGAACATCCAAGACTAAAGCAAAAAATATACGGGCTTAAGGTTGATCCTTGATGTAATCCATCTATAATAGGAAAATACTTAGTCAAACTACCTTGTGTCTGGACACAAGTAACAGCTCTTGCATACATATCCTTGATGACTTGAATATAAGCATTATTAACCCCTTTCTTTTCTAGAACTCGATCTCCACATCACTTCTCTTGGAACATTATCATATTCTTTCTCTAAATCAATAAATATCATATATAGATCATCCTCTCTATACTTCTCCATCAAACCTCTCAATAAATGTATAACTTCTATAGTAGACCTAACATACATGAATCCAATTTGATTTTGAGAAATGTTAGTATCATGCCGCAATCTATGCTCCATAACTCTCTCCCATAATTTTAAAATATGACATATTAACTTAATTCCTCTATAATTTACACAATCTTGTGTATCACATGTATTCTTAAAAATATGAATCAACACACTCATCCTTCACTAATGTGGCATCTTTTTAGTCTTCAGAATAATATTAAAAAGTTTAGTAAGCATCTCTAACTTTAGTTTTACTAATACTCCGATATAAACTAAAAATCTTTATTTTTATTTAGGATGCTAAGGTCACTAAAGTCAATCACATTCTCATAATTTTCTTTGAAGAGTTTATTAAAATATCGCATCCACCTTTGTTAAATATTTTCTTCTAATCAAAGCAATTTTTTATCTTCATCCTTAATACACTTCACTTGAACTAAATCCTTATTACTCTTATCTATTTGTTTGGCTAACTTTTACATATTTCTTTTATCCTCCTTAGTATTTAATATATTATATAAATAATTAAAACTAGAATTTTTGCATCGCATATTGCTTTTTTAGATTCCTTATGTGCTTATATATATCTTTCTCAATTATCAAAAAGTTTACATGTAAATTAATTTTTATAACAATTTTTTTTTAATCTTTTCTTGAACATTTTGATTTCATCACCAACTATCTTTACTATTAGGAGTTTTTCCCTTTGATAATCAAAGAACATTTTTTGCAACCTTCTTAATATCACTAACTACTTTTCCCACATAACATTAGCTTCCTCATGCACATACAAAATCATAAGGTTTAACATCTTAATCTCAAAAATATTTTTGTTAATGCTTCTATCTAATTCTAGAATAATATTTTTTTTTCTATCTTTTCATCTTAAAATCTAAAACTAATAAGCGATGTTGAGTATATAAACTTTTACTTGTAATAGTTTTACAATCTTTGTAATTTAAATGATATATTTTTCTTATAAGAAAAATAATCAATCTGAATTTTACTATATCCATTCTTATAAGTGATGAGATGCTCATCTCTTTTCTTAAAAAATATATTCACAATTATAAAATCTTAAGCCAAAGAAAAATTAATCTAATATGGTATTACTACCTTTATTAGTTGCTCCAAATTCATAGCCATCATGAATACTTTTAAAATCATCTACATCTCTACTAACATATCCATTTAAAATCTCTTGCAAAGAATTTTTTTTAAGATATTTCTTTTGTGTTAATTCTTCTAAGTCATTCTAAAATTTTAATTTTGAATCCATATCCAAACCTACTTGAGGAGCATAAACACTTATAATATTAATAATCTTAGCATCAATAATAATATTTTAAAAATTATAATTTTATCTTTAATTCTATTAATTTTTATAACATTATGTTTTAACTCTTATCTATAATCACTCCTACATAGTTTTTAGTACGACTCTTACCAGAATGACAAAGTTTAAAATCTAAACTATCACTCCTTAGCCTTCTCTCCTACCCATTTAGTTTCCTGAATGCAAATAATAAGTATTTTTCCTATGAACCATAATATATATTAATTCAATCAATTTATATGTAAGGGTGCCTATATTCTAAGTTTACATCATAATTTTAATTTCATGGACTAGCTTCTTTGCCCACATCAGTCTATTAAAAGTTTATGTAGGTTGTTAAATATCTATGAACTAGCCCGATGCTAACTAAGTGAGGAGTGAATTAATAATTTAAAACTTCTTTAAGAAAAAAGAAAATATCCTTTTTAAAGCTTTTTAAAGTATCTGAAAATATTAATTTTATCCATTGAAGTGGAAGCAAATTAATGTCATAATAACAATAAAATCAGAGTTTTCAATCACACAGTAAATCACAGAAAAGTTTAAAAATTAAAATGCAAAAAAAAAAAAAAGAACGAACACAACAGATTTTATAGTGGTTCGATTAAATCTGACATATGTTCACTCCTATAGGCCTCCGCTCTAGGTATTGCACCAAACCTATTAGTGTATCTCCTTTAATCCCCATAGATTGTCGAAGAAGCTCTTACAAAATATGTTTCACCAACCAAGTGCGACATAGTACCTTAAAATTTTTTCACCCTCTTAATGAAGGTAGAGAACTTGAAATCTTTTTTCTCCCTCTTGGATATGGCAGAGAACCACGAATCCTTTTACTCCCTCTTGGAGTTGACAGAGGATATCCAGGCTTGTTTCTAGGTTCGGTGACCGGACGTAATAGTTTGCCGTTCTACAGGTCTCCACCTCACTCGAAAAAAATTTATTATATCATTAGGTCCCCGTCTTCACACCTTATCAAACTATCTTCTTCAAGAGCATGAGGAGTCGAACACCATGGTTTTCAAAGGTGCCACCCACCTTAGCCAAAGACACCTCTGAAGAGCCGCGATCATATTTCTTCTTCTTTCTCTCACGCATTGATGTTAGAAAGTGCTAAATATCTCTCATAAGCTCTAAGAAAATATTTTAGATGAAGAAGAACTATTACAATTAGAAGAGCTCAAAATTGAAAGGGTAATGTTCACAAATGAGCATTGATTGTTGTTCTAAATGCCTATTTCTAGAGTCTAAAAATAGGAAAAAAAAAAGTATAACCTCCCAATTTCACATCTTATCATAGTCATTCATAAGTCAAATTTTGATTAGGGGAGAATGTAACCAATGTAGGTAGCCATAATAGTAGAATAGAAAAAAAAAAAAAAAAGATAGAACTAAACCGCTAAAAATGCTAGATTTACATGGCTAGTTGGATGGAGCTACGGATGTCCTGATTTGAGTCATGAAATTGCAAGAACTATTTAATTAGATTCATCCCACTATGAAGCACCAACACACCTTGTTCATATATCCCCTTAACTCTCTCCGCAAAAGAAATTAATCACAATGGCAAATTGATGGACATGGTTACTCAAGATAAGTGATGATCCAACATCTATTAATGCCCCCTCTTTGGGCTTTCAAAGGAGGAATTAAGAGGTTATGACAAGAACTCAAGCTTCAAAGATCATTAACTTTATTGATTACATGCGGGTCAACTTGTAACAAAGAAATCAAAAGAGGAGAATTATGAGTTAAACTTTCGTATTCCCCATTTTTTCCTTATGAAAAATTTCCCTCATTTCTATAATGGAGGTAGGGTTCTAGGCCAAATCTAGGGCTATATCTTTTCACCTTTCATTATTATTCTAACTCGTTGAACTCTCTGAGTGATGGATAATTTTGCTCTTTGTCAATAAGTAATCTAACTCGAAAACTCAACCTTCCACTTCTCTCCACATATTTTCTACATGCACATGTCAAAAATCAATTTTAGAGGACCATTGATATGCTAGGACCATTATCAACTATTAACATAAGTTCCGAGTCATTCTTATCCAAAAGTTAGTCTCAATTTTCTCAATTAACAACTACCATGCAATCAATAATATCCTCATGGAGTTGTGGATTGAGATATAACAAGTTGAGATCATAGATGTAAAGCTTTTACTTTTGATGCTTGTAGTAAACTTATTATGATGTTGAATTGGAGATGGAGATCAACCTTTGATGTTGCATAAACCATTGAGTGGGCTATGTTTTAAGTGTAGGCAATGAGATTGGCATATGAAGGTGTAAGGCAATGACAAATGTCGCTACAAAAACTTGGAAGGTGATAGTATTATTGAAAATAGTATTGGATCACGATAAGGGATGACTGATTTGGTTAGCACCAATTGGCAGTATTGAGATGGATTTTTGTAGATGATACCATTTTGATTATATATTTATATGCATGATATGGTATCAGGCTCGAGACAGACTATCAGCTTCTCTACTATAACTCAAAAGACCTTTTCTGACATTCAATACTACAATTATTGAATAAATTATAGCATAAATTCATTCAAACATAATATGACTAGGGGCATCGAAGAATCAGTACTTGGTGGATCATTTTCATTTCCGTTAATGTCAGTTCCATATAGCATAATGTTAAAGTTTTGTAGAGATGAGGATGCTCAAGTGGATGAATGGCTTTACTCCTAGAAACAAGATTCAAAATGAGCATATACATGAAAAGGTTAGAATTGCTCGAGTGGAAGATAAGATTAGATAGAGTCACCTTAGATGCTTTGGTCATATAAACAGAGGCCTATCAATAACTTGGTTAGGAAAGTACATGTAGGGGTGTCAATTCGGGTCAACGGGTCGGATTTGGGTCCAACCGAGTTGACCCGAATGTAAACGGGTTGACTCGAACCCGGCCTATTTAGCTAAACGGGTGAAGATTTCCAACCCATATCCGACTTGAATGAGTTTCATGGTTGACCCGACCCGACCCGTGGACCCGAACATTTGCCTTCCTTCCACGGGAGCAATCGTTGAGTCGTGCGGGCCTGTGGGTGCGTAGGGTCGCGAAGGTGTGAGTGGGGGCAGACTGGCGGAGTTGCGAAGGTGGGGCAAACTGGCGGAGGCAGGGCGGACTGCCGGAGTAGATCGTGAAGTTGCGGAGGCGAGGCAAACTGCGGATGAGGCGTAGTCACTGAGGTCGGAGGCAACTGGCAGAGTTACGGAGTTGACCCGAGTGTGGCGAGGTAGGAGCTCGCCGGAGCCGGACTTGGAGCTGGAGGCCGGCATCACTGTATCAGGCATGTGGCAGCGCGGGCTAAGCCGACGCCCAACGGTCGACTATGCCAGGTTAGAGTGGGATCTGGGTTAGCCGGGTCAACTCCAGGTTGTCGGGTCAATCCGTACCCGGATTTTTCCGGGTTTGGTCTGAATTGTGTCAACTTTTGACACCCCTATGTACATGTATTCGATTCGGCTTATTATAAAAAGGTAGATGTAAGCCTCAAAAAAATTGGTTAAAAAATATTAGAAATTACCATTTGTTATTAAATTTAAATGAGAATTTGACCCTTAATACAACACAATGGAGAAAAAGAATTCATATAGCCGGCCTCATGTAAGGGGATAAAGGCTTAAAAGCTTGATGTTGTTGTTGTTGTCGTCGTTGTTGTCAGTTCCATAAGGCCTCTCTTACACTAGAAATAATGATAAATCAGCAGTAACTACAGAAAAATTTTTCCTATTAAAATGGATAAGACTTCTTTATTGAAAAACATTGATATCTCTAACTCAGCTTTGATTATCACAAAACAAGTAGTGCTTGAAAAGATTAAATTCAACTGAAAAGGAGGAAGAACACAGTGTACCTCCAGTACAATTCAAATACTTCAGTTAGGGAGCAAAAAGAGTGCAAGAAGTTGCTGATTAATTGCCCATATAGAGATCTAGAGGTCATTTGCAATTATAGGTTAGAAATACCGCTTGTTCCTTTGGATCCTTGTCTTGATTCCTTCGACAGAGATGAAAGCCAAATTATTGCTTCCCCTGTAGTCAAATAGAAATATTCTGGTCCAAAAAGACTGTGAAGGCCATTTGCTCTCTGTAATTTCTCCATGACTTCTCCCACAGGATTTATGAAGGAAAGCTGTAATGTTAAAGATAAAGGACTCATCAAGTTTATTTATTATGTATGTAATGAAACAGTGAGAGATTTTTTTTATACCTTTAAACCTTCTTTCTCTGTTGTCTTTTTTAATTCCATAAAAAAAGAGATCCCGCTTGTATCAATAGCACTAACCGCTGAAATTAAAGGTAGAGGGCATTGTAAGTCATGTGAAAGATCTTAATAATTTTTAATAATATGGATTATCACACAAAAACATTGCAATGGTTTTGCAGAGATCGCTTGAATGAAATCGTGTCAAATAAAGTTTATTATCACTTTTTTTCATAAAAATGGCGTGTGCTACATGTAACTAACCTTTTTGGTACATGTGACTTGTACCCATGAAGTTAAATCTCTCTCTCTCTCTCTCACAAGTCTATTTGCCATTCTACTTCTTGTCATCTCATTATAATATTTGTGTAGTATTTATCCAAGTCTAGGAAATCTTCTACTAGGAAATATATAAAATCAGGAAATAATAGCTATAATAATTCAAAAATTGATGAGTAGGTAGAGTAATAATTATAGAATAATTTCAATAGTTCATGGATTGATGAGGTGACCGTAATAATCTTATGGACCTTTTGAGGTGACATGAAGTGAACAAGGATGACGGAAGACTACTGGGCTTGATGAAACAAGAAACATTGATGGAGGCAAAATTAATGGGGGCGGAATCGATGGAGATTGATACTTTTGAAGAAATATTGTCAATTCAAAGCTTGCATGTCAATTTTTGAAATATTATTCCCAATAAATCATTGTTAAGAATGTCTATAAGTTGGCCATATGTGATAATGAATGTAGAACATATTATGCCACAACAGCTTCTCATTTATAAAATGGCTATCCATTTCAATATGTTATGTTTAGCCGTGTTGCATGGGATTGTGTGCAATATTAATGTCGACTTCTTGTCATAATGAAGCTTCATAGGATCTTTCCACTCAACATTTTTAATCTTCAAAGATAATTTTAAATGGTAGTAGTTCACATATTCTTAGTGCCATAGACCTAAATTATGCTTTTGCACTAGATCTTGACACCAAATTTTATTTTTACTTCTCCATGTCTTGAGGTTGCCTTCTAATGAGGTTGCCTTCTAAGAATATGCAATATCTTGAATTTGACATCCTATCAAATATATACCCTGCATCGACATATATATAGGCTTCACGTGTAAGATCCTACCCCTTTTTTAATAAAATTCTTTTAAATGGAGTTTCTTTCAGATATTGCGAAATCCGATATGTATTCCTAAGGTGTGATTCTTAGGATTGTTCATGGATTGACTTACTGTACCAACAACATAGGCAATATGATAGGAAATACTTGAGTTCGCAAGTAACCCTAAGGTAATACTTGAGTTCGCTTCCCCCTCTCCCTTCCGCCTTCTTCCGTCGGGCATAAGCCCGGACCGGCTGGGCCGGTCCAGGATGAGCCGGTCCAGGCTGGACCGGCATAACACAATATCAGGTATAACATGTGATGAGTACATAATCCTTCCTACTAGTTATTGCAACTTCCTCATTTCTTCCAATAGGTCTGTTATATGTTTATGTTATGATATAAAGGAGAAAATGATCAAAATGGTCTCTTAACTCTTTATGAATGATCAAAATGATTTCCAACTATATTAAATGACTATTTTGGTTCCTCACTTCTTAAAGAAGAACCAAAATAGTCCCATGATGGGACTATTTTGACTACTATTTAAAGACTTGAGTAGCCTTTAGGCTTTAGGAAGAAAAATTTATCCTATGCGACTATTTGGATTCCTTTTTAAAGATTTGAAGGATCAAAATGATATTTTAATATAATTGTAGAATATTTTGGTGAGAGATGGAGGACAAACACGAGTTCTCTGTAAAAATGAAAGCAAATATAGTTTCTGTCGGCATGAATTTCTTTCATATTGAGAAGTGTAGATACTATAGGAGTTTCAAATAGATGGCATGCAAGTTCTCAATATCTATAAAACTGAGATATCGAGTCTCATAACAAAATAAAGAGATTTACTTACCGGATAAATCTAAGATGACAAATTGGAAGGTGATATGCTTCTCCTTTTCCTCTTCTATCCATCTTGAAATTCTATCAACAAAAATATCCCCACGAGATGTTAGACAGCCAGTGCAAGATCAAAACCAAATTGAAGTGATAGAACATTTAGCTGACAAGTTTATTGGGAATCTGGTAATTGTGTACATGAACTATTTGCTCAGTAACCAGGAAAATAAGTATTTCTTAGAAAATCCATGTCTTGATGGTAGAGTCTGACTTTTGGTCACCGACATAGACTAAGGCTTCGTTTAGGACAGCTTTCTTACTGCTTCTTAAAGCAACTTTTTGTATAAAAAATTTTAATTTTTAAACTAAAAAGCTGTTTTAAGAAGCAAAAGCCGTCTCAAATGAAGCCTAAGAAGCATGCACAAGTTTTTTCTGCTATATACAGAAGAGGGTATCAAGGAAGAATCGGGTGCTATAGGCACCTTGATTCTACAGTCCATTAGCAAGGCCAATTGATGAAATATTGATATGAATAATGAACTTTAAATTTGTTTTTTGTATATCAATCATTGAAATTTTATGCACGTTTGATAGAAATTATTAGCAAGGAGAGTATGTGTTCTGATCGATAAACAGTCAGGACTCCCATAGTAAAGAATATCTGGAGAAAAAAGAAAATTTTATGCCGTATAATTACTAGGAGTGAAGTTCCATTGAAAAATTCCACTAAGTTACTAAATGTCAATAAAAACCCGTCATAAATTTCCTATGAGAGAAATTTCAGTGCAAAATACCACTTGCAAAAAATGCTACTGAAAGTAAATCAAAATAAACCATATGTAAATCTTTCATCATTTTTCCATTATGAATATTACATCATTTGTCTCATATAGCTGTGAAAGCAAAATAAAAATTATATGCCTTGTCCATTAAGACGCTAGATAGATAAGTAACAAGCATCTGAATGGGCTGAGGGGTGTCGGATCTCCCGATTTAAAAAAAATGAACTAATCAAAATCCATATTTTTTCAACAACATTCTAATGTGTGAAATTCTATTAGAAAAATAAAACTTGAAAAAAAAAATCCAAAGTATCGGTTTCTGCATATAGTGTCCACAAAGCTGCAGAAATTGAGGCTTTGTTTGGGATGGCTTTCTTATTGCTTCTTAAAGCGCCTTTTAAAAAATTTTTATTTTTGTGCTAGAAAGCTGCTTCAAGAAGCAATAAGAAAGCCGTCCCAAATAAAGCCTGAATGCATTCGTGAGCTTCCACGAAAGCTACAGAAATTAAAAGAACAAGTACCTTTCATTGACATATGTCACATTTGCAAAGTTAATGGGAGCTTCAACTGCCAAAATCAGAAAACCTGGAACTCTTGTAGCTTCATTATAATGATGTAGGTTCCTATATATATCAGTCCCTGGTATGTTCCCTTGAATAACCATCTTAGGTCTTGTTATTTGGAGAAGGATCCTTAGTATTGACAAACCTACCTGGAAGTTTTTATCACAAAGTTATTAGTTATAATCAGACAATACAGCAAGGTAAACGCTGTAACTCTTACAGCAATTGCTAGTCCTTCTTCGACTGAGATGAAGACAACTCCCAAAAATGCACAAATGCAAACAAGGAAGTCCATTTTGTCCATCTTCCAGATGTGAATTGCTGCAGTTATGTCGATGAGTCCAACAACTGCAGTAATTATAATGGCTGCGAGCACAACATTAGGCGTGTAGATGAAAAGTGGCATCAGAAAGAGCAGTGTCACCATCACAGTCATGGACATCACTATATTAGACATTGCTGTTTTGCATCCAGCATTATGGTTCACAGCAGAACGGGAGAAGGCTCCTGGGTTGTCATATAAGAACTACTGTTTCAGCGTGTTCAAATGTGTTAGAATTAGATTAAGGCTTTGTTTGGGATGGCTTTCTTACTGCTTCTTAAAGCGGCTTTCTAGTACAATTTTTTTAATTTTTGTACTAGAAAGTAGCTTTAAGAAGCAGGAAGAAAGCCGCCCCAAATGAAACCTAAGTGAAAGAATAGTCATAGTTGCTTTATAGTTTAACCTGTAGTAATGTAACATGATGTACATGAGCCGATAATGTTCATTATTCCAATGGCCATCATCTCTTTATTTCCATCAACTTTATATCCTTTCAATGCAGCAAACGTCCTTCCAACAGCCACTCCTTCCTGGTAAGTCATACAACAGATATCTGAGTATTTTAGGATGACAAATTTTATTGGATTTGCATATCTATCTACATCAGAAAAAGGATAACAATCAAAGAAGGATAAACAAACTAAACTGCATTTGCTTCAAATTCTCATATTTCTTTACATTTAGGATCTGTGATATTCTTTAAAAAATAACTTTATAGAGACCTTTCACTGTTCTATCTGTAGTGAAGTCAAATATGCTATGTATTCATTTAGATTTATTTTTATATCCTATACGGTAGATCAGACCTAATCATGTTTTTGACTAGATCCTCCCTCTTTTTTTTCTTGAGGTATCATTTTTGTTTTACAGTTCAATGAAAAATTACAAAGTATGCAGCTCAAATCCATGATAATGAACAAACAATCTTTTCCTTCAACCACTGGGTTGCAAATCATTTCACAACTTTTTTTTAGTTCTGTTACTATGGCTTCAGCTTTGTGTTTTTTTTTTGCTTTTTGGCTGCACGGGGATAGTTTTATGATAATTCATTGAAATAATAGAATTCATATATTAATGCATTTTTTTTTTTCCGGTTTTTTGTTGTAAAACTTTTGTCCTAACTGACTTGTGCTTTGCTTAGTAATGAAGGTATTATATATGCCAATAATGATAGAACACTCTAAATCTAAAGTGGTGATGACTGCTAAATTGTATTGTACACAAGTATTATTGTTTCAATTTACTTTGTATCTTTGACACAAAGAAGAGTATTGTTAGACCGGTCCAGCCTGTCCATGCGGGACCGGCCCAGACACGAAACGGCGGAACTGGGCGGAGGCCGCGCGAGCCGCGCGCCTTGCGGGACGGTTTTATGAAGGAATTTTGAGGAAGTTTAGCAGGGAAATTGATTGTACGGACTGTTTAGGGAATTTCTTTTGAATTGTATGCATTAAATAGTTGATTTTTCTAGGGTTTGGGTATCTTGAATTTGGCTGAAATTTGAGATCTCTTATATTTACGTTTCTTTGGGCTCTAGCGGCGTCCAGAGATTTAGGAGAGATCGATCCTCCTCTCGAATTGAGAATCAATTATATCTTTTCTATTTTGTTGCATCTATTAGTAAAATACAAGTCTTTTCTCCACTGTTTTCTCTCCAATTTGCTATTTTTCCACTGTTTTGGGGCTGATTTCTGCTGTGGACATCAGGTTGTCATTGATTATTGCTTCTAAAGTGGTTAAGAAATACTTGAAATCAAGTATTTCCTATCAAGTATCAAAATTTAAAAAATATTCATGTTTGACTCATTTGTTAAGTAAACAAGTTGAGTTTGAACAATATATTTTAGCTTATTTGATAAACAAGCGGAAAAAGAACAATAGCTTGTTCAATCATATTTGGCTTAGAGTTCAATATATAAATGTTAGTTATGTAAGTTTATATATGTTTATACACACATAAAGTTCATATTAATTATATAATTTTATTATTAATAACTCCTAATAAGTGTAGTCATATTTATTTATTTTTTCATCTATCTAATGATGAACTACACTTATTACGTAGTTGTTAAGACATTTGAGTATTTGGTTAGTTTATCATTGGATATATGAAAAATATGTTGCTGTATAATAATCAGGTGATTGTTACTCGCCATAAAGTTAAGTTTTTTTATTGAACATAGGATTGATCGCTGGTGTACTCGGCCCAATTATTTCCCATTTTTTATGCACACTTCTTAATAGTTGGTATCAAAGCTGAATTTCAATTGGGATTGAGTGACTAATGTAGTTTGTGGCGTTCAGATGTCTTAATTACTTCTATTGTAGTCGAGCAAGGTTCAAGGACGGAGACTCTCATGTAAGTGGCATGCTCCACATCATAGTTTAGGCCCTTGATGCATGACATGACACATTATGGAATTGTTTTTTGTTTAAAAACTATCATTTAATGGTGAGTGATGGTCTGTGTGGATGGCTCTCATATTAAGGAGAGATTGGTGACTCATCAGTATATTTGATTCAGTACCATATTGAATGGTAAAAATTAAATTGTTTTAGGAATGCATAGTGGTTGAACTTTCACCCATAAGCTCAAGCATTTGGATTTAAAATAAATTTGATCACTTGTGTATTAGGCCTAACTTCGGTTTCCCTTTGATGCACACTCCCTAATAGTAATTCTTGACCTCAATAGTAGTGTCGGGATCGTGTTGATCGCGCACGGGGAGTTTTGAAAGTAAAAGAAAACAAAGTAGCACGAAACTTACTCGATGCGTGTAACCGAGAACTTAAATAACATAAATGGCCTCCATTCGCGAAACGAATAGCACCAGGGCATTCAAGACAACATAAACAATTAAGATCGACACCAATATTGGTCGAGGTTGTCAATCATCAAAAATTAAAATTCTGCGCGCGCGAATTGAGGCGACATTGATGTGCATGAACGACGACGATCTGACGGCGATGTCGATGCACGATTAATAAAAATTTTCATATCAATTAATTATAAATAATAATTTAAAAAGAGACAGAAAGAGAGATGACATTTTAAAAAAATCTAAATCTAAATAATTTCCTAAACTACCCCCACATAACACTATCTCTGTCATAACCCTCCAGCCGACCACTCGCCCACTCACGACTCCACTCATGCATGCAAGAACAAACTCCCTTCTCTCCCTCTGGGCTCCCATAGCCTGTCGCCGGCCACTGCCGCCGCCACCTACCTAGGTAAACTTCTTCCCTTCTACTTCATTTCTTCTTCATCTTCTCCTCCTCCTTCTTCTTCTTCTTCTTCTTCTCCATTCCTCTCCTTCTCCTTTCCTTCCCCTTCTTCTTTCTTTCTTCTTATTCCCTCCATTTCTTCTTCCCTCTTTCTTTTCCTTTTTTGCTTTCTCTTCCTCTTCTTCTTCTCCTTCTTCCGCCCCATCTTCTTCATTACCTTCTTCCTCTAAACCTAACCCTAACCCAAAATTTTAATTTCACTCTCCATAGCTCTCAAAACCGACCCTCCCTTCACAAAAAAGCCTACCCTCGACCTCCTACACCCTCTACACTAAAAAGCCCCTTCATATCTCACTTTCTCTCTATAAATCTAGAGAAAGAAAATTCATAATATATTTTTCTAACCACTTCATTCTCCATCTCAAACACCTCCTCTTACCCTCATTCTTTCTTTTCCCTCTACCTAGAGAGAAAAAATCCTCTATTTCTCTATCTAAAAATTGAGGGAGAGAGATTTTCCTCTCTAACATCATTCTTCTCACCATTAACACATTCCTACAAGGTAAACATTCTATCTAGGCAAACATTCATCTCAAGTCTACCGAAAAGGTGGACTCAAATCTATCTCCTTAGGCAATATTCATCTCAAGTCTACAAGGTACCCTCGTATGAAGCATCCCATGGCTGCTGATAGGATCCTTCGGTCAGGTTGGATCGACTACTTCCCCTAACTAAATAAACTAAGGACCGCGATGACCTGGAACGACAGAACCATGGGATCTTGATTGGGCTCATCATCAATCCCCCCCACCATCTCCTTTAAATGAGCGGTGATAAAATTTTAATATCTAATTTTGTTGCTACTATATGCTTGATACTACGTATCCGTTCAACCACTAGCATTAATCGAATATTCTTTCTCGTTATAGGAAGGAGTAATTAACTATAGAGGCATGCACTTATAGGAAACCAGAACTTAGATCATAAAATCCTCGTAAAATGAGGACGAACCTCTGGGTAGTGTCTTATCTAAAAATCAAAATTTCCTTCTAAAATTTATCCTGAAACCTAAACTCGTTAAAACTCTCATTGCCGACAACAAAAAGGCCGCAGAGAGGCCGGTGCGTAAACTTTCGGAGAGCATAGTAATTAGCACGATGAAACTAAGCCAATATGAGTATGCACAAAAGATTTCATGTATGTTTGAAAAGCTGTTTTCTAATTTGACTCCTTATATAAAATGTAAAGCCTTGTCAAGTTAATGCTTTGCCGCCATTCAAGTTTCATTGTGAAAGACATCCACCAAGTAGCAACTATCACGGCTTCAGGTAAGCTAAGCATTACTCATCTACTCATTGAAAGCATCTACAAACCAAGTGACTCGTAGTTGAGTCTTTAGTGAGTACATGTACGGCTTCACTAAGATTGACACATGTAGAGATTCATTAATATGCCCGTAAAAGTTCAATGATAATCAGGTTAATGATATTTGATAATTACTTGGGGAACAATGTTAGAACGTAGCTGCAGTTGAAATGAATGACTGCATTGTGAAACCAAAATGCTTAAATCACCAAACTACTTGTTTAAAGTTATAAAAAATGGCACCTTTGTAGAGCAAAAGGCTTTATTTATTCTATCATAAAAGCAATGGGAAACAATGGGCAGCAGCACAAATTGTTTAGCTAGTAAAGGAACTTACAGCAAGAGATACAATCCCAGTAATAAGACCTACTTTCACTGTTGTTCCCAAATAGAAGCTATGAAAAAGTAATTTATCCCAGGAAGGACTGTTAAGTCCACGCTTTAGCTCTCCAATCTGCATAAACATGCAAAAGAAACATAGAAGAGGAGTTCATAGCTAATATGTTTGATGGAGGTGCCAGTAACAGAAATGGAATTGTGATTTACAAGAGGTACTGACAACGCTGATTCCATGTTTTTGAGCTTTGAATAGGAAAACAAGAAGTGTAGAAACAATCACTGATGCTAATGGTGCCCCTGCTGATACCCAAAACAGTTTTGGCTTTTTGGTGCTCTGCATCAAAATACATAATGGCAAATTAATAAAAATAAGATGAAATTTTCTTAATTAAACAATTTATCTGAATTCAAATGAAGAATTCTTATTTGTTTTTATTAGCAAATTTATTTTAAAAAATTCTTATCTATTGAATTTTAACTAAAATCCTTAGACCTAATGGTGATATTTCTCAAGAAGCTAGACCTAATGGCAATGTTACAATATTACTACACATATATCTTTCATTACAGCAGGCTACAATATACTATAGTTGTTTAAGAATCTAAAGTTGTGTAATGAAATAAAATATCTCTTCTGAGTACATCTGTTATCTTTTATGATTATTAATAGGAAAATGATTATTACTAAGGTTTTAATTGGGGCGGCTATTTTACTGCTTCTTAAAGAGCTTTCTAGTATTTTTTGTACTAGAAAGCGTCTTTAAGAAGCAGTAAGAAAATTGTCCCAAACGAAGTCTAAAACCAATGGCTGCACTGTAGAATTGGATAGAGAAGCATCAGAGTGACCTTTTTGCTTGATTGACCGAAAAGCTGAATTTGAAAAAAAACTGCAGAATTTTGTCGGTTTGGTGGATTCCCTTTTAGTGGTTGGAAAGATGATTCAGAGCCAGTGCAATGCCAGCTCTGAAGCAGACAGGTTTCTCTTCATTTTTCCAGATTTATTTATTATTTTGGTATGATTCAAATTCAGAGCTTGCTAAATAATTTTTAAGATTATTACCAACTAAATTCTTCATCATTGCTCGTTAGGTGATCTTCAAATAACAATTTAAATGGTTTTTGCTAGAGTAAAATCAATGATCTTATTTGGAAATTAAAAAAGAGATTAGATGTTATGTTTAATGGGAATAATCATAACATCAGTAATATTATGGCTTAAAAAGTAAATTTTGGTTCTTTATTGTTAATCATTTAAAAACTTTTAGATTCTTAAAATGATCATCAATATTAAAAAAAAAATATTAAAACAACATTGATGTATAAAATAATATATTATGAATATTGTATAAATATTTCATTCATAATATTCTAAAATTTACTTGATGTATATTTTAAACAAAATGGCATAACATTCTATTTATAATGACCAAATAGAATGATAAAAATAGTTTTATAATGATCATCTTCTCAGACTTGGATCTGCCATTATCAAAGTATTTTTTTGAATTATCAAAAAAAAAAAATTTTACATATAAAATACAAAAAATATGATATTTGAATTTTAAAAATTCTTGTATGATAAGATTTCAAGATTCCTAGCAACACTAATTGATGGGAAACCCATTAAAACTAAAATTTAATCTGTTTAATTTCTTGACTGACTATTGGCCTTGTTGTGGCATGGGGAATGGTCCAATGATTTGACTTTGTTTAATATTTTATTGGATTAATTTCTTATGATTAAATTAATATATCGATAAATAAATATTCAAAATTCAAAAATACTAATCTTCTTGCATGTATGTATCTTGACTTATTTTTCTCATCATCATTTCTTAATTAATTTTTTAAATCAAATACATTTATCTAAACATCATTGCTTGATTTGAGATTAAGCTAACTCTTGTTTAGAAATTTTGAAAGATTAGTTTATTCATAAGTTTGATATACATAAGATTTAATTTAACTTTTTATTTGGTATTAAGAAACATAAAATAGATATTAGGAACCTAACACTAACTTAATCCTAATTTTGAAACAAAAGGTAATTAGTTTAATCCTAATCAAGATTAAATTAAAGCTTAATCTCCACTTTATCAAATCATTAGTGGAAATTAAATCAAACAGCTCTTACTGTCGATCAAACTTAAGCATAATATGTACGTAAGTAGACATTCATATGCCTAATGTAACTTTGTGCTATGATGGACTTAAATGTACTCGAATTTATGTTGAAATTAGTACGTACAAATGATATCATGAATTGCACTAATCTCAACATAAATTTAAGGGCATTTAAGCCCGTCTGACATAAGTTATGCCGAAACATCCTTACATAATTTTTTATTTTTTATTTTTCCTATAAGAATTCAATTGTTGGAACTTACTATGTGTCTCGCCAATAGCAACAAGCCCAAGAAGCAGATCCCCATTATCACTGTTTGCCACGACCACTGCAAATATGTCTAAATTATTAAATAAATAATGCAATGGCATCATACTTACAAATATCAAATGATTTAGATGTATTTTTTTAAATTTAATATTATTATCTAATAATGCAATTATATTACTAATTAATATATAAATTATAACTAATACACTAAAATTAGTCCCATCATAATTAAAAAAATATATATGCACGCACGTGTGAGCAATCTACCTCACGTGTCTCGTGAAAAACAGAGCTCATAACAGGGACCAGAGCCATCTGCTGGCTGAAATGAACAATGCCCAGCAATCCTTTGAGCTGCTGCAGCGACACTATAATGGCAGCTCCGGCCATAAACCCCACCAGAGTCGCCTTTGAAAGATAATCAATAATAAATCCCAACCTACAATATACACGAAAAACATTATATCAAACAGGGCATAAACCCTAAATTCTCTTTGAGATGAGTGCGATAGCAAATCCCTACCGGAGGATGCCGAGGGCGGCTTGGAAGAGGCCGGCGAAGAAGGTGGAGGTGAAGGCCAGCTGAAGGAAGAGAGCCGGGCTGGAGCTGGGGCTGACGACTTGCCGGAGCAAGGACCCCATGATGAGCGACGCGATCGAGACGGGGCCGACCGCCAGATCCCTTGAGCTTCCCAGCACCGCATAGACCAGCGGCGGTATGAAGCTCGAGTCTACGTAACAAATCTTTTTATTAAATCAATTAATATAAAATTTAGGGTGTTATATTATTTTTTAAATAAAAATATTTATTATAAAATTAATAAGAAATTTATTATAAAATATAATAAAAATATTTTGGAAAAAACATAGATGAGAAAATTTTAATTAAAATTTTTTTAGAGTGAATTTTAAAATATTTGGATTTCTTAA